GGGGTTTGGGGGGGGGGGGGCGGATGGCACGGAGATGCGGGCACCGTCCCTCGTGGAATGGCGCCGCCTCCCCCCCACATGTCTTTCTCAGGACGAAACCTGCCTCCTCTCCTTCTCCGTTGGTGGCTGGAGAGGGAAAAAAGGCCAAGCATCCCACTTCTTCTGTCTCGAAGGCGAAGAATAGGGAGCAGCCCCACCGGTCCCCGCGTCCCACATATGGGCAACGATGGTACGCGGAGATTCTGGGGCTCAGGCGGCTATCCTGCTGTCACCTCTAGTGGGGCGGAGGATGAGGACGCTGCCGACTGGCAGCTGGTGGACTGCAAAATGGTCAAAAGGACAAAGGAGGGGGGCACGTATTGCTCGGCCACACCGGCCAAGCCGGAGACCTGGAGTCACACACCCCGCCCCAAGGGCAGCCAGAAGCCACCTGTCAGAAGTCACCCAGAAGCCTAAACAGGCGCCGGAGCAGCAGGCCAGGTCGGCCAAGGACCCTCGTAAGAGGGGACCTAAATCTCCGAAGTCCGCGGCTGTAGTCTTAACATGTCCATAGGGCAAGGCCGCAGACTTCATGAGGAAGGCAAACCATCCGTCTGGCCGACCTCGGTATTGCCTCGGTGAAGGTCCACAAAAGTTTCACAGGGGCACTAATAATAGAGGTCGAAGTGAGGGGTGGGACCTCTGCCCGAGAAGAGGCTGCCGGGACGGCAGAGCAGGAGTCCCTGGTCCCGCCGAAGAAGAACCTCTCTGCTATAAGGAGGCTCCACCACACCCGCAAAGAGGGAAGCGGGCGGCTTGGTGGCTACTGAAGCCGAGCTGCCCTTCTTAAAGCGGAAGAATAAGAGACGGTGAAAGGCCAAGTGTGTAGAGGGACAGCACCCCCGATGACCAACAAGGGGGAGGTAGAGCCTAAGCAGAGCGAGGCTTCACCCACTGAGGTCCCCCTCCCCTTCAGGTAGAGATGAGTTTCGCCGTCTCCCCGTGGGCGACGAGGAAAGAAATCTCTCCCCCCTCTCTCGCCTGACGATAACGGGGACTTGGAAGAGGGATTGAGGGAGGCTGCCACATAGGCATTTTCCCCCTTTAATGGCCCTGGAGGCTAATCTGGGCCGCGGCCGCCAGGCGCAAACTCTCATTGCGCAAATCCTGGCAGAACGCGGCCTGAATTTGTCTGTGGTCACTGAGCCCTACTGGGCGCCGCGAGACGACCCTTATTGGGTTGTGGCGCCCGGGGGCTCTGCAACTATTAAAAAGCAACGAGCTCCTCTGCTCCAGTCAAACAAGCTGGTGAGGGAAGATACTTCGTCGCAGTGGAGCGCGGAGCCATCTCCGTCGCGAGGATATATATACGCCCCCCCCCCCCCCCC